GCAGGACTTAGCGAAGAAGGAGGCTTCTCGGGTCGGGAAGAGTAGAACGGATTAAGTTAAAGCAGCGGGGGCGGGACCGAGGCGGTGGACGGAGGGGCGAAGGGGGGAGAGGGGGAGAGGGCGCGGTCTCATTATGCAGGCGCTTCATTTGGACACGCGGCGGGCCGTGTTTGCGGAGCGCGATCCAAACAAACACAAGAAGTTGGGGACGGCGTCTTCCACTCCACCCACGGTCACAACCACCATCCGACCACTGACGCACAGTGGGTCGCAAGAAAACACAAGCGTCTTCATTTCCTTCTTACTTCTCTTCCCCTTCTTCGTCTTCTTCTTCTTCTTCTTCTTCTTTCCTTCCTATTTCTTTTTCTTCCATTTCTACTTCTTCTTCATTTTCTTCTTCTTCCCTTTCTACTTCAGCTTCCTCTTCATTTTCTTCTTGTCAGGGCAATACGTACGTTCACGTTGACGGTGACGAACTCGGTCATGGTAAATGGTACGTCCATATTTGTGTTAAACGTGCCTGTTTCTCCACATGTCTATGTTAACATTTTCATTATGAATGACCTTTCTCACAACTGAGAATCACAATTAAGAAATAATGGATAGAGATGCGGATGAGATTATGGCACACGTGGGGATCTGCCATTTCCCTCCAGACTATAATGACAAAGACAAAAACCGGAATGCAGCGAGAGTTGTACCTCCAACCTTTCGATGTTTGCAGAAGTCTGCGATACGTACGTGGGCCTTCAAACGTGAAGCAAACATTCCAAGCCTTTAATATTCAGATTTCAATCTCTTCTTCAAATATGAAATAATTACAAATATAAACGGAACTCAAAAGTAAATGTATCCTGGTTTCTCGAGGTCAGCCTATGTGATCGTATTTCAATGAAATACGGCAATGCTACTTGCAGAATCACAGCTCTTTCATACACAATAAAACACAATTGTATACATCATCCCTATTCACAATGCTTACTTATATAACTTCCTTGTATCGTATAATTTCATGAATGATCACATTGCATTATTGCATGTGCAGAATTTATCCGCGTCTTCGTACTATGTTTCCTTGATCTGCTAATATCTCTGGTAGATAATTTCGGTATTATCGCCTTAAATAATCCGGTTCACCTTTTAGAAAACTATCTACCTCATCACACAAAATTACATTAAAATATAATTAACATTTACATTTATTTGTTGTTCTATCAAGTAGTATCAAAGGTGGTTGTTGGGCCCAGTGCTCTGCACCGCATCACGTGGTCTCCCGTACAGTCCGGCTCCCCAACGTTCACCCGTCCACAAGGTCCCAACCGACCCCACTCTTCGCCACGCACCGCCGCGCCGCGCCGCGCCACCTTATCCCCTCTGCCGCTAGGCGCACCCCGCGTCTCGGACCAGCGCCTCCGCCTCCACCCGACTCGCGACCTGCGCCTCCAGCGCACACTATTTAGCATCTGCGCAAGTCACTCCGCGCTCCCGGGGCAAGGACGTGTACAGATTGGATTTCAAAACGTGTCCCGCTTTCTTTATTTGTATTTTTCTTCGTTTAGTAAAACAGCGAAGGGAGAGAATTCGGCGCCCAAGAACACGTGCCGTGATTGTAGGTCCTCTACGTCACATTGTGTTAACAGTTTTCTTGACTTTATAAATTTGATTTTATAAATAATATCTGGTTTCCTAGCTTTCAAAAGTATATTCCATGCCGTAACTCTGAATGGGTAAGAAATATTGAAGATAAATTAAAACTGAGTAGGATGTGGAAAAGTGAAGGTATGTTAAACTCATTTTATTCTACTGCTGGTCTTAGAGCCAATATTCTGCTGACTAATTAAAACTAATGAGGGTTAGTGATCTAGGATTATTTAGAGCAAAAATAGATTTTTTTATGTGACTTTAAAATTTGAAAAGGATTCTAGGCCATCTTTTCTAATGTTGACAATAATTTTTTTTTCTATAATGTATTTCTTTAGAACTGAAAATCATTTAAAACATATTTTACATTTAGATAGAAGCAAGCAGTTCATCTCGTTACGCAACGTAACTCAATGTCTAAAGCGCTATAGGGCGAGATATGGCTTCATGGAAAGAAGACTTATAAACGTCCAATTCAATAAATACGAGTACATTTCAAGTGTTCTCCTGAAGCAAACCAGCGAGCAAATGTTCAATGGCTCGATTTCCGCTATGGCATTGAAGATTCTTCCATCTCAATAATGGAACGCCCAGTTTGTGGAAGTGGATATCAGGAAATACGGCATTGAGATGAGAGCTGTTTAATGTCGCGTAGCACGATCTGATCTGGTGATTCGGTATCAACCCCTGCGGGCAAAGCAATCACATTCATCTTAAAAACATTTGTGTCATCTGGGAACTTTTATACGTCTTTCATATACCTGTCCTTCGACTTCGATCTTTTGGGCCTCTATACTATGTAGTTTAAAAATTCAGAAATGTGACGGTCTATCCATATGAGTTTTTTCTATATCTCAGTAAAGTCATCCACTCCCAAGATCTCCACTGACATGACGGTACACAGCCTAATCAAGGACATGTAATTCTGTCAGACATGTAACTGTGGATTAACAAGCCTAATTCGACGCGGCCTGTGGAGCAATTAGGGAGCACCTCAAGACGCCGACACCAGCGCCCAGGCAACGGACGCAAACACGCGCTCGCAGAAGCTGAGAATTAATTAACGCAAACAGGACACCATCCCACCCACACTTCCCCTCCTCAACCCCACCGCGCTCGTGGCAGCGCCGGCGTCGCTCTCGCCTCCACTCGCCCCTCCGCCGCGGGCGAATAAATCATACGGCACGAAAGGGATCGTCGTGGGGGCGGCGCGAGCTCCCTCCGCCCCCAGCCACCGGAAACAGTATCACTGCCTTCTAAATAATACAGAACAAAGCCATTAAATTGCCATGTTGCCGTCTGCAGGCGGCGGCGGCCGTGGCGGCGGCGGAGGCGACGGCGGCAGCGGCGGTGGTAGCGGCAAAACGCAAGGCAAACGCCAGAACCAGGAAAAAAGAGGGCGGGAGGAGACAGGAGGGGA